CCCCCCAACCCCCGTATTATTTTCTGATAGTGGACCATAAGTTGTGCTTGATCATTTTGTCATTTCGCAAGAAACCAGAGCGGGGACCTGAATTCTATAAGCTTAATGTTTTTCTCCTCCAACAAAGGTCATTCCAAAAGTAACCGGACTGGGCTCTTTGGCATACTCACGAACAATCAGTTCCGGAAGAAATTGACTGGTTTAATAATGGGTTATTTTTCCTTAGCAAAAAATGCAAGGAATATTTGTCCTTATTTGCCTCCCAAGACACGAAAAGGAAATTGAGATTCTTCAACAATTGCAACAACTTGAACAGCAAGAAAATCTGGAGGGCATGCACACGCATCATACTTACAGCAACAACCCGAGTTTTTTGCTACACAACGATGGGAGGGCGCGCATATCAGGGGCCTTGCCCAAGTTCGTACAAGCAGAACAGCCGTAGCAGCCTTGTATGACCCGCAACAAGATGGGGACAACGTAGTAACCTCCCCCCCCCAATGTGTAGAGGTTGCAAGGTCCTTCTTCAAGGACCTATTTACCTCTAGGTGCTCTCAACGGTATATGGCCACCAGAAGGAACAATTAAACCGCCAACTTTCTAAGGAAGAAATTTGGACAGCCCTGTCGCAAATGGATGACGAAAAGGCTCCTGTCCTTGATGGATTCCCCAAGGAGTTTTGGGAAACATTTTGGGACTGTATGACTCCGGATCTTATGGAGTATTATCATCACATGTGGGAGACGGGGGGAAGTGGTTGGCCAGGGGGCCCTCGCTTTGTTCCATAAAGAGGGGGATAAGAAGGAACTGGTAAACGAGGTTTTGAGGCTCACAAGACATGACAAATGTAATGCGGTGGTGATCTTTATAGATTTTGAAAAAGCTTACGACCACGTCGCCTGGACATTTCTAGATACATGCATGGAAAAAATGAATTTTGGTCCAAACTTCCGGAGGTGGACCACAATCCTCCACCACAACAATACCACACGGATTCAGATAAATGGGGTATTGGCTCCAGAAATTTCCCTGCACCGATCGGTCCGTCAAGGGGACTTTTTAGCCCCCTTCCTGTTTATGATAATAATGGAAGCCCTGGCTGCAAACCTTCGGTCTAATAAGGATATTAAAAGCTTTGGGTTTCCGCCATTCTCGAGGAAGCGATCCCTGTCTGGTCCATGTTTGCAGATGATTTGACAGTCATGGTGGATGCTTCCCTTGAGAATATGGAAGAGATCAGAAGGCTGATGGATTGGTTCACGACTGTGTCGGATATGACAATTAATTGGGGGAGTAAAACGCTCGGATGGTGGATTCATCAACAAGGGGTGCGGCCCCCGAGCTACCGCGGGTTAAATTGCTGTCGGAAACAGCCCCAATTGGAGTATTGGGCATTATGATGACAGCTTTAGGCAAGTCGGCGTCAAATGATGATGCTATTCTGCAACCGGCGCTTGAGAAAATCACTCAGTGGAACGATAAACATACATCGCTGCTCGGCAGAGCATTGACCATCAACAATGTGGTTCTGGCTTCCCTCTGGTATAGATCGGCGATATGGGCCCTAAGTAAGGAAGTGGTTAGAGCCGTAAAGAGGCAGGTGCCGGCGCTGCTATGGAGAGGGGACGCTAGGCTCCCTAACGTCATTAATAGAGTGGTGTGGTCGGCCTTTATTCAACCTAAGGAAAGTGGAGGGCTTGGAATTCTGGACCTCGGGTTGACCTCAAGGGTATTGTGAGGCAGCGATGGATGTACCATTTAAACGTAGGAAAGGACAGCATCCGCCCCATTCGG